CTTCGTCATCATATATATATATAACAATAATAACTAGTCATAACATTGCACGAGAGTCTTCAAATTCTCTGGTGAGGCGTGGTGGAGTTGAATTGCTATTGTGTAGGAAGTGCAACGGGAACGGAAAAAATACTTTTTTCCCGCTGCTGCTTATTCACAAGTCTCCGACAAACGCAACAGCCCCATGAGCTTAATCCAACATTATTGTTTCCTGTACTAGATTGTACAGCTCCCATGTTGAATTAAGTATCTTCATGTTATCTAAACGCGACTACATGCTAAGTCGACAATACAAAGCTTGTAAATAAATATTTATTTATTAATCAGGCATTCGTGTTGCCTTGCTTGAACTGTATATGTTGTATTTGTCAAAAATAAAGTCGTTTTAAAAAAGTAATTTCGTATATCGCATACGTAACTTGTAACAGTTCTTTAGTTCTCTTCTTGGACGTCTCTTTGTGGAGGTTTTCCCGTTGAATGTTCCGGAATATATTTTCCTACTACTCTTTGTGCTTCTTATTGGCCCGTTTCCCAACCAAAAATTCTGCTAACCCCACAGTTGGTTCTGACCCTGTATATGGAATTTATGATACGTATATGGCACACTCATCAGCTTTCTCTTTGCATGTGATTACTGGCACCCTGTCAATCTATTCATGCTCGCCAGTTACCCAATTCTTCACCACGGCAATTCCAGACCAGTCTATATGGGTTCATCGATGCCGCAAGAACAGATTGACTGTCTTAAAAAATATTGATCCACCAACTTATTGAGGACACGTACTGTATATTGCAACACACCTTTCCCATGTTCGGTTTCCAACTAGTTTCTATGATGTTTCTCGAGATGATTGCTCCTTCTCCATTCTCTGAGGTTTCGAACATGTATTGTTTTGTCCGATTTCTTGAACTGAAATGAATTTTCCAGCCTGAATTGAAGACGCAAAATTCAATAGTGTCTCCAATGCTGCTATTGCTTCGATTTTCAATGCATCCGTTATTCTCAAACAAGGAAGACTTTGCACTCTGCTCAGTTCATTCATAGTGGTCGTTTGTTTTATCTTTGGTCAATAACTTTTAATGTTTTCATAGGTTCAACCTCCATGGTATAAGACAATGCACCATGTCTGGTTTCATTGCCATGTCTTCAGAACTGACTCCGCCTTTGTTTGTACTCTGTCTAGATATTAGTTCCATGCCAGCAAGAGGTCTATTATTATCCCCAGATATTTAACATCTCCCAACAGATTCAATAGAGTCTCCACTGCTGCTATTGATTCGACTTTCAAGACATCCGTTATTCCCAAACGAAAAAGACTTCGCAATCTGCTAAGTTTATTAATAGTGGTCGTTTGTTCCATCTTTGGTCACCAGTTCATAACTTTCAATGTTTATATGAGTTTAACCTCCATGGTATGAGACAATCTGGTTTCTGGCCACGTCTTCAGAACTGAACCCCCATTGTTGAAGCTAGCTGACCAACTGAATATATCTTCGGATACTTTTGAGAGGGAGTGGGTAGGAGTGGAAATGATGTGTCCCAATTGGTATTTTTTCCGCAATGGAAAGAAGGGAGGAAAGTGGATACTGCTCCAATTACGCAGTGCTCCGTGAACTCCAAACAAGTCACGTATGCTCCATGCAAAGATGATCTGAGGAAGGGAAATGAATGAGGGTTATATTGCCACGTCGTCAACTTCCTTCTTGATTCGCTTCTGGAGAGCCTTCACACAGTCGCTCATTTCGTCGACATCCACCAATTCGTTGAATTACCCTCAACACGGTACTCCTCTTCGACTCCGACGATGTCCCCTCGATGCTGATTTCCCCCCCCGCCAGTTCAGCTAGCAAACGCCGTTTCTGTTCGATGTGCGGCAATCTCCGCCAATCTCTCGTCGCTGCCTCATTGAATGAGGGTTATATTGCCACGTCGTCAACTTCCTTCTTGATTCGCTTCTGGAGAGCCTTCACACAGTCGCTCATTTCGTCGACATCCACCAATTCGTTGAATTACCCTCAACACGGTACTCCTCTTCGACTCCCACGATGTCCCCTCGATGCTGATTTCCACCCCCGCCAGTTCAGCTAGCAAACGCCGTTTCTGTTCGATGTGCGGCAATCTCCGCCAATCTCTCGTCGCTGCCTCAGCAGCTTTGCCTTTCTCTCCTGGTATATTCTGCCGAGTTCGAACAAGTCCTCGACTAATTTGGAGCTTCTCTGCCACATTGGTAACTCCACCTTGCTGCCAGAGGGTTGGACAGAAGTTGCCTACTGAACATTTGGAACAGGCATCGGTGGTGGTGGTGGCGGAGGTACTATGAAACTGGCTAGTGGCTGATCATGAGACTCGGCTGTAGTCTCCAAAAAGACCGTGGTGGCTGGCTCAATGTTAGACGCAATAGTTGACATCTGCGGTGCCGTCAATGGCTGCTTTTTAGTCTTGGCTATCATGGCTTTGGAAATGGTGGTATCCAACGTAGAAAGGGCCAGCCAGAGGGTCGAGGTCATCGACGGCCACCAATAAGGACTCATCTTATCCTAAATTTTCATATACTTCTGCAGCTACGACTGCACCTGTTTCGACGTAGCGGAGGATCCTCTCTTCTTAGCCGATTGGGGAGCAGCAAACTCGTCATCAATTCCGTCATCATTCCATTGTTATAAATAATAGTCAACAATAAGAGGTGATTATTTATTAAAAGAAGATGAATATGCAGATTATGCAGGATATTTTCTTTTGAGGGTCTCTTTCTTACCATCTGGATAGAGATTTCTATGTTCTTACATACAGCGTAGCACAAATTGTTTTTGTACTTTCTTTGCAGTTATCAAACCATGGAAATCTTGCATAAGTTTTACAGCTCTTTCAGCAGTATCATTTACTACCCTCAAAGAAAAAACTTTTTTTTCAGCCTCCATAAAGGCAATGTCTTTGGACCACATAGCAACCTGTTTCTGAAGGACATTCTCATCAGTTTTTAATCGAGAAAATAAATTTGTGCTCTTGACAGGCACAAAATCACCTAATGATTCTCTTGAAACAATAAATAAGGCAATTTTATTATCAGTTTAATGAAAACAGTGTAAAGAATAGTAGTTCCTTCTCAAATGCTCACCATACAAATAATCAGACAGTTCATATTTCGATGAAATATATCTCTTTTTAGAAACTCTCTCTTTGTAAGTTCGCCACTATGTTATCTTTGGTTAGTTCATCAACTTCGTCATCAAAGAGTGATAAAATGGCAATTTCTTTTGGCAAGTAACAAAGATGATGACTGAACTTGCTCAGGGCTGCTTTGCCAATTACTTTGTCAACAGTTTTATATTCCTCTGAAAAAAGCATAAATTTTGATTTAGTGCCAGACTACATCCAAGCCATGCTTTCATATATATGACCGCAATGAATAAACGAACATCTTGAAGTCCTCTTACCACCCATCTTGCTTGATGCATCGCTCCAGGGGGTTTGATTTTAATTTTTTCCCATTATCTCCTTCCTCTTTTCATTATGATTCCAGAATTAACTGTTCGAGAGCTGGTAGGTGGATCGACATCGTCTATGTTTCTATAAAATCTTGAGTAGTAGACGATAAACTCCCGAAACACAATTGCTCAGGTCTCTTTTTCTCTTCTTTCGATTTTCTCTGTCTTGCCTTTCTTCTTTCTCGGATAACTTCTTGTCTGCACCTGCCAAACACCTTGGACGTACTGGTTCCTTTGTTTTTGTAAAATCAACTTTTCTTCTTTTACTTTCATCCGTTTAAATCTGTTTAAAATCTGTTTTTCCGTTAACCAGCTGTCGCACCCCTACGAAGACAACCCTCAGAAGTCAAAACATGTGTGTGAGGTAAGGATTAACGAGGTCTTACCTTTTAACGTGTGATTCCTAACACGCGTTCCAAAGCATCAGCTTGTACTATATCGAATAAATCTTCTGGGTTGTTTTGTAAACATCTTGAATTTTTTTGCAACTCCCTCCAAGCATAGTGAATATCCACAAGTTTTTTTACATAGTCAAGTACAGCTCTGGCTGGGATTCTAGCTTTCTTCCACTCTCGAAACACAAGATTTGCGATTTCACTAACAGTCAATTGAACTTCGCAAATGTTAAAAAAGGGAACTGCAAGAACTTGATGGTTAGATGATAACTTTGCGGCCGCTATTTGGTGATTGACATCACCAAATCCTTGTGAAGTCCCATTTAGCTGTCACCAGTGTAATAACTTAACCTATAGCTAGGTTATTTTTTTCAAATGCGTAACTAACGATATATAATATCCAATCCCACCGTAGTCACCGCTGTTTAGTTAAATGAATTTGGCAGCTGCTGTCACTAGATGCAGATTTTCTCCACACGAAACTTTTGGATGTCAGGCAATTCCGTTAAGGGTGTAAGGTTCGTGCCGATGGCACAAAGGTCGGTCTTTTTGAAACCTGATCATTTGGTATACCTACTTATAGTTCTTTCTCATTATATGGTTCCAGAACGATGCTGAATATGCTCTAACTGAATTTTAATCTTAGTTGAAATACTTTTCACTCACTATTCTCTTCTCGATGGGTTGGCTGAAAAGTCTCTAATTTTTGTTTTGTTAAATTCATTTTACTCTACGAGAATGGTATTTTTCTCAGTCCAAGAGGACCAAATATCCGAGGTAACCTTGAATTTGATTTCTTTTTAATTGTAATCTGAACTCTAGCTAAACAACTCACACTAGGAACCCAACAATATACATATAATCTCTTTGCAAATAGGAAGTTTGAATCTGGTTAAACTCTGTTTTTACATTAACTAGCTGTCGCACCCTTACGAACGACAACCCCCAGAAATCGAAACTTGTGCGAGCTAAGGATTAACGAGGTCTTACCTTTCAACGTGTGATTCCTAACACGGGTTCGACGATAGCAAGTGAAAATCGATATTTCAGACTGGGGCTTGAACCACCGACCGACACAGCAGTCAATTCGAGTGAGTGAACAAAGCACCCACGTCGAACCGAGCGGCTACCAACCGACCGAAGTGAACTCAGACAAAATAAATTTATATAACGCCTATATGGTGGTTTATGGCCAACCCATATGTTCCGTTGACCCGGTGTGTTTTCAACACCAACACTTTTATTTCAATCTTCCCTGTACCCAATACCGGCTCACGATTTCGCTACTTATTTCCCTCAACTTTCGCATCATGCGCTCAAAAAATAACTCCCCTACTCAGGCCACTATTCTCAGCCTCCAAGGCTGAGGGATGGGATGAACCCCCCCTAACTCGTTTCGACGGGCTCTCGTGACCGACTCCCCGTGGCTTTCGCAAGAACTCACTAAATCTGTCTTCTCCGCCTCTTTTCAAATATCCCAGAGCCTCGTATCAGCAACGTTCACCACAAAAACCTTATGTCAGCGTTTTTAACTTTCCCAAGCGTATGATTATCAGCAGGATGTAATACATACATTTGTTTAGTTTAGCCTAACTTAAAGACGACCACAACGACTAAAGGTCCGACAGTAAACAGAGTCATATAGTAGTTCAAATGCTTTTTTGAAGCTAGGAAAATATCGACACCGAAGAACCGGGTGATCGACCTCGATCTCTATCAATAAAATAATATAATCTTTTACGTTACTATCGCAATAGCAGTCATTACAGTAGTCAATGAATATTTTTATGTCCATTCCTATTTTCTCTGCGAAGCAGAAACTGAATTCTCAAATTATTACAGGTTCCGAAGCTGGAGATGTTGGTTTGACGCTGACGCAGGGTGGAATGTTGGCCATGTTGGTCCAAATGACATTACAGCAGTGGTCCGAAACTGAAAATCGTATGACATCGGTTGAAAGAGCACTCGAATACACTATCATCGAACCTGAAACGGAAAAAGGCACTGAAGTTCCCAACTGGCCTACTCATGGAGAAATAACTTACAACCACGTTTCTTTGACTTACACTAGGTCTCACGAGAAAGTCCTCAAGGACATCAATTTCAAAGTAAAACCCAAAGAAAAGATCGGCATCGTCGGCAGGACTGGGGCAGGAAAGTCTTCCATAGTCTCTACGCTGTTCAGACTGTACAACTTCGAGGGGGAGATTTTTATTGACGGAGTGGACACAAAAGCGTTGCCTCTCAAGTTCTTGAGGCAACACATATCCATCATCCCTCAAGACCCCATTATGTTCTCCGGCACAATCAGGAGTAACGTGGATCCTCTACACGAATATACTGACGAAGAAATTTGGAAAACCCTTCACAAAGTTAAATTGGATGTTATCGTTCCAAGTCTGGAAACTCACGTCGAAGACACGAATTTCAGTACTGGTCAACGTCAGCTGATATGTTTGGCTAGGGCCATCATTCGAAAGAATAAAATAGTTGTTCTTGATGAAGCGACCGCCAATATGGACCCGGAGACCGAAAGTATCGCCGACAAGACTGTGAAGGAAAACTTTGCTTCTTGCACGGTATTTGTGATTGCTCACAGATTGGAATCCATATTGGATTGCAACAAAGTGATGGTTCTAGATAGGGGTCAAATCGCCGAGTATGATGACCCAAAAGTTTTGAAAGAGAAACCAAATGGACTGTTTGCCGGAATGCTTAAAAATGCAGGAATTGTATCTTCGAATAAGAAATAAAATAGACAAAAATTTGTTGGGTGTTTTTTTTTAAGTTGGTAGCTGTCACTATCAATAAACTGGATAGACCTTACCGATACTTGGTGGAAATACATATGGACACAATGGAACACTGTCATCCTCAGNGGCTTTATCAATCAGAATGTCGCTTAATTTTTTCCTGAAAATATTCAAAGAATAACTCTTCAGGTATATGGGAATTTTGTTGTACATCTTTATTCCATTGTATGTCAATGAGTCCTTCACCATTGTTGTTGTGGGCAGGGGAAGTCTGATCAAGTTAGCTTGACGTGTATTATAGTGTGGCTCGTTTATATCATCAGGAGCAGATATATTTTTATGAATCAGACTTACTGTTTCAAGAATGAATAGAGATATTATTTTCAGAATTCGTTGTTCAATGAATAATGGTTTGCAGTGATCTTGGAACTTTGCTCCGCACACATACCGGACAGCTCGCGTCTGTAAAACGAAAACAGTCTGCAGCATGCTTTTGCTGCCTAGTCCCCAGAAGGCAATACCATATCTTATATGTGCATCCACAAAGGCAAAGTACGCAGATCTTGCAAAGGTTCTACCCAGTTCCTTCGAAACTGACTTCACTACACAGCAGCCAGATGCAAGTTTTTTATTCAACTTGATAATATGATCCTCAAATTTAAGCTTATTATCAATGTGAAGTCCTAAGAATTTGGAGGACAATTTCATCTCGTATCTTATCTGAGTCGCACTAGCTCCTAATTTTTTGCATGTCTACAATAGCATCTTGAGCTAGTTTTGAAGGAGATTTTCCCTGCCACAGCAACCACTGCCACTGCAAATAATGTGACGCTAGCAGTCAGATCCAGTTGTGGTATATCATTAATATACAATAGAAACAAGATGGGTCCTAGGATGGAACCTTGAGGGACACCTGCTTTGATTTCTCCTACATTTGAGTCGGTTGATAGTCTTACAATTTGCTTTCGGTGCAATAAGTACGATTCAAACCATCTAATGCTTCTGTACTCAAAACCATAATGTTTCAGCTTCCGCAGTAAGATTCCGTGATCAACGAGGTCAAATGCCTTGGAAAAGTCACAGAATACAGCTGCTGAATAGGCACCAGAATTCATATCACTATAAATCTTATGCAGAAAGTTAAAAATTGCATCACTTGTATTTTTGTTGTTTTGAAACCCATACTGCTGTGGACTCAATATGTTATTATTATAGAGAAAGTAAATTAGCCGCCTTTTTATNGAGTTCTCTGTAGTGTAGTTAAACTTTCCATTAATCATTCAAATATAATATGAACCTGAAAACTGCAAAATCGATTCTTGGTAGACACCCAGATCGTGAAAATCAATCCTGGTATGGCTTCGATTTCAAATAATTATACATGTATTCTCTCAGGTAAGAATGATTCATATAATGGCGGCAATGTATTAATTTATTCAGAATATAAATTATCCTGAAATACAAACATATATTGAAAATAATTTCGACATCTTGAATCACAGTCTGATGTGAGCTGGAGTTATTTTCTGCCTCACGATAATGCACCTGCTCACTCATCATTGTTTGTTCATAATTCTTTGGGCAAAAACAACACCGTAACCATGCCTCAGCCACCGTATTCACCAGATTTGTCCCCCTGCGATTTTTTGCTGTTCTCAAGATTGAAGTAACCCATGGAAGGACGGCGTTATACGACGACTGAGGAGATGAAAACCAAATCGCTGAGAATGCTCAAGGACTTGTCAAAAATTGCATATCAGAACTGCTTTGAGGATTGGAAAAATTGCCTGCACAAGTGTATTATATCTGAGGAAGGTTACTTTGAAGGGAACAGAATAGAAAATAAAATTCACCTCATATTTTGAACAGACAACATGAGTGTTCTGTAAGTGTTATTTTCAATGTTGGGGTATAAGTGGTTAATGGCCTGTTTTTTCTTCAAGGATGTGTCAAGGATTGTTTCATCGAAATCAATGCCTCATTAAAATTCTCTGTGTACATTGAGATAGACTCGAAGTAACCGGTATAGTGCATAGTTAAAGTTTTTGGCGTTCTCAAAAGCCAAAAAAACCAATACAGAGACATGAAGGATGGTTATAGCCTTCGTTGTTCAGTTCAAGAGCTGATTGCAATTTGAGTGTTGAAATTCGATATTGGTGCAGTGTAATTACTCAAAATTTTTGTTATCTGTTGAAAATGTGGCGTCTTTGGACAAGTACTGATAGTAATAACGAGTGTGATAACAACACAGACTATTTCCTGTGTAGTGATTCCAAAACTATGGTGAACAATGCGAAAACGAGATGCCAGTGAATAAGCAACAAGCAACAAGCAACAAAACAAAAACAAACTTTATGACCGCAAGACGCGATGTGATACGAGATTACCAAAACCTTTAGATGTTCATCTACTAAAATCATTGAAAAAAACAATATACGACTGTTACAAAAGCAATGAGATTCCTACAACTGAAATCTTATTTTTGTTCAGGTGTGGGAGAAGCGCTTCAAGTTTCCAGATTGATTTCACACTTCTACAGATATTCTCGAAGTTCTTGCATCTTTTGTTGATTTATCCTGTTTCAGATCTTCATTTTTGAACTGAGTCTTCTTCAACTGAAGAGGGAATGTTTCTCGGAGAGATTGAGTTTTGAAGAGGAGAATATTTTGGTTTTCTATAGGGTCTTCTAACAGGGACCTCCGAACTTTAACAATTGATAACGGCCATTTTGTTGAAGCTACATCTATCAGAGAGAAAGAAATACGTTTATTGTCCTAAGAAAGAGTTCTTGTTGACAAACGATTATGAACAATGTCAAAGTAGTATAAAAGTAATTCCTAAAAGCCCATTTATATAAAATAGGGTGTCAAACGAATGTATGCCTACAATCCC